CCCCAAAACCCCAAAACCCCAAAACCCCAAAACCCCTTAAATTTTGTAAAATATTGAAAATGTCTGAAGAAGGATATATTCGAAAAGCAACTCATGCTGGAAGTTGGTACACTGATGAAGCAGAAGAATTGGATCAAGAAATGGAACAGTATTTAGAAGATGCTAAATTTACCTTACCTAGTGAGGATTCGAAGATTCGTGCAATAATTGGCCCTCATGCAGGATTTAGATGGTCTGGACCTACTGCTGCATGGGCATATACACTCATTAAAAACTCTTCCCATATCTCATCCACTTTAAATAATCCAACTCATGCTTTTAAGCGAATCTTCTTGTTGGGTCCTGCTCACAAAACCAGAGTTGATGGTGCTGCTCTATCAAGAGCAACTGCTCTTGAGACTCCTCTCGGAGACCTTGATGTTGATCAAGAAATCACTGAAACCCTAGCTTCTAAAGAGCCGTTTGTGTACTACAGCAAAGAAGCTGACGAAAAGGAGCATTCACTTGAAATGCATATGCCCTTTATAAAATAAAATGTTTGAAGAGGACATTAAGGTAGTTCCCATTATAGTCGGATCAGTTTCCTTTGACAAGCACCAACAAATTGCAGAAGCACTGGTAGACTATTTCAAAGATGAAGATAACTTTTTCATTATTTCGTCTGACTTCTGTCATTGGGGACTCAAGTTCAGGTATATGCCCTTTGACGAAGAAGAATGTAACAACTCGGGACTTCAAGACCCTAATATAAATGATTACATTGAGATACTTGACAGGAAAGCTATCAAAATTATCGAACAGCAAAGTGGAGAGGAGTTCCAAGAGTATCTCAAAGAAACTAAGAATACTATTTGAGGAAGGAACCCCATAACTGTTCTGTTAGAGATTATAAAAGCTTCAGGACTGAGCACTGAGACCAAGAACGTAAAGTATGCTCAGTCAGGGAAGATAGAGGGTAAATTTTCTTCTTCCGTATCTTATGCGAGCTTTTATACAATATTAACATAAATCTTCGAATTTGGGGTTTTGGGGTTTTGGGGTTTTGGGGTTTTGGGG